ATATTAATTCCTTTGGAAAACTTGGCATGATGTGAGACATGGGGCATACAAGAGAGGTTAAAAGCAAGTATTGGCATGATTCTTTAGCTCAAAAATCAGAATGGCGGCAACTACTGCAAGTCACTACAACTACCAGCTTTTTCAGGAAATTAAGTTCTTGGGTTAACTCAAAGTGATTATTAGCATTTCTGAATTTTAAGTACCAAATTCTATATTTTGATTAAGGAATAATCTAAGAAAATAACATTTTCCTGCTACATAACGTAGCCAGTTTGCTACCAAAATTACATCCAAGTAGCAGACCAAACATCTACTTAGGAAAGAATATCTGAAATTGCTAGAGAATGTGGGTTATTGTTGTGCAACAAGACAGAGAAGTTCATAAATTGCAAATAAAATTCTCAAAGGAAACATTTTCGATGATGAAAGTTTTGACAGAAGGATGGCCATGCCTATAATGAATGTGAGGAATATTTTGTTGTTGTTAAATTGGTGAAAATTCATCTACAAAATAATGTTTTCTTTCTATCGGTTATAGCATTCTGGAAAACACAGTCTCATAAACTTGCTATTCTCTATGGTAATGAAATCTTTCTAACATTTAGAGGAAGTTTAGAGATGATGATAGTTGAGTTAAATAAAGCAATTTTTATCCAGTTTTGTATCTTACAAAGCAGAGAGGTATGATTTCTTGTGGGGCCCATCCCTATCAACCAGCTCTCTCTCTCTCTCTCTCTCTCTCTCTCTCTCTCTCTCTCTCTCTCTCTCTCTCTCTCTCTCTTCTCTTCTCTTCCTTTCCTACTACCTAGAATTCCATGTATGCATTTGTTCATACAAATAAGCATATTAACTACACATATGGAAACTATGGCTGGACACAGTAAATCTGACTTCAAATAGCCTGTCATCAATTCTCTGGATTCATGCTTATTGTTTTCAAACACATAGTCAATACTTTAAGTAGAGATACTAGTTTTATGGCAGGGAAAAAAAGCGTCATGATTACATCTAACTTTACATTGGGGGTTGTATGGACACTATTCAGACATTCTCAATAGCATGCCTTAAAACCCAGAGTTGCTTGGATAAGAGTGTTTCTGGTTTCCAACTGGACAGAGTCCAAATGCTAATGACCAAGTTTAACAAAGGAACTTAATATTTTGAGTTGCCATCTTCTCAACAGTGCTCATAAAACAACTTAGTTCAAAGGCTAACTGAATGGACACTTATGGGTTCATGGAAGCTATCTAGAATTATTCTCAGGGCAATTGAATACAATTCATTTGTTGTTGTTTTTAAATGTCTCACAAAGCTCAAATATAAAGAGGCAAGTAAGAATGTAATGGCAAGTACTTGATGATTATATTATGATCAATTTGATGAGGCCATTCAAAAAATATCCAAGTTTTTTTTCTCTTGGCTCTTAAGGGGTTCCTTAACAATCTACAAAGCAACATGATATCTTGTGTGTCCACTGAGACCCTGAATCTAGTAAGTGATGTATACAGAATGAATATGATATTTGTATCCAAATATACAGCTGTATATTCCTGAAAAAAAATAATTTGACCTTCTAACACTAATGCTTTTACCTATTTGAGGAACACAAGCCATTTATGGAGATTACAATCTATTTTATTTAGGAGATTTGAGTAAGGGCATTTTAAAGATTATAATATAACTCAGACTCACAGAGGCTGAAGACTGACAATGGGGGCAGCAGACCACTGGAATTTAAATCCTCTAGAAAGTATTAAGAATTAAAGTCAAATACACTTTAATGTAGTTTAATTACTAAAGAGTATGTTTACATCTGCAGTCTAAAAATCTTTTATGGGGTTACTCATATGTATATACACATTTGCTCATTAAGTTGCTGAATTTCCTTTTAGGGACACTGTGTACTTTAAAATAAAGATAAATTACCCTGTGACTTAAACTTGCATATTTGACATTCAGTGTTTTTCCCCAAATACCCTGACTGAGGTAGAGTAGAGGCTTCTAAATTCACCCAGTCAAATTTTCGTGTCTCAATGGGAGGCAGTAGAAGTACTATATGTCAACAAAGTAGATCAAAGGAGTAGGAAAATACCCACTTCTTTAGAAGGTCAGTTAAGTTCTGGGGTTTGCTCATGGAAAGAGCATCAAATGTCAAGAACAAATAGGGAGCCTGGGTAGCTGCATGCTTAAACTCAGACCCATTGAGGTATGTGATCACAGGCTTGGTGCCCATGCATGCAATTCTTATAAACAATCCACACTTGAATGGAAGATCTGCAATTTGTCAAGCAGAGAAAGAAAACCAAGCTGAGCAAAATGAATAGATGATCTCAACAATTAAGGGATCCTGTTTTCTAAGGCTCTAATCTCTCTCCACTGTACTAAGCAGTAGGCCACGTGTCTTAGAAATTTGCTGGCCCTGAGTAGGCATTTCTCATAGCCTTCTTGTCTTGGGAGTTACTTTTTACCATTTCAATTATTGGCCGTTGTTCTACATTGAGAATGTTCTTAATCACCTTCAGGATTACCCTGTGAAATGGAAAATCCTAGAAGCTGGCTTAAAAATATACCACAATAAAGTATGAGAAAATAATAATAATGACTGAGCTGATAAGAATTTAAACGCTAAAATAAAAATGATTTTATTACAACTGTGACCTTCCTTGTTTTAAACCCATATCTTGCCAAAAGAAGGGAAGTATTGCAATTACAGTCTGATGGACAATACTTGGAAGAGGTTCATTCATAAAACAGACTTAGTATCCTCAAGTCTTGTTGACTCTTTTTACAGAGAATTTTAGTCTTATCATCTGTACTATACCCTGTGCAGTAAAATGCTATTCTCTGAAATGCAGCCTCCAATTTTAAGTGAGTTTCCTTGTGTTAGGTTTATACTACTAAAATATTTCAATATATGTCATATTTCACAATGGAATTCTAACATACATGCTTTAGGAGTAAGATCACTTTGCCATTAAAATACAATTTTATATTCTTCCTTGTTTGCAAACCTGCATTGTCTTCCCAAATTTGTTCTTATGTATCTTTTTATTTTTAGTAGGAAAATGGTAATGTAGGAATGCCAATTTGGAAATAAGATCTATGATTCATTCAGAACAAAAAGAACAGTTCATATGATGAATGTTCAGAGATTATTTTGATTTCTGCATTTCCATTAGTGTGGCGATTACATCAAAAAAAATTTAAAAAAACGATTTTCTTATTCCTCTTCCTTGTTTTGTCTTGTGCTTTAAAGTTGAGGACTCTTGGTTGTTAAAGTTGAGCTTTTCATTACAAGGTACTGGTCAGTTCCAAAAACAAGGCAAGATGACAACAACAACAACAAGGATTAGTGATCAGGTCAGGGCTTTGAGATTTGATTACTACACTGAAACAAGAATATGGAATGGAAGCACCATTGACTATATCAGTGTCTCAGTCTATTTGGAATCATTCCCAGTTGTTTTATGCAGTTATTCATGATCTTCAAAAAGGTGAGCAATTCACTTCAAGTGTTTCATTAGGCAACTTGTGTGTCATAAATTATTTCATTTTCAAAAATTTCAAGCATATACTATTATTTCCATTTTCTATTATTAGAAAGGAAAAAAGTTATGACAGAAATACTCCATTGATATACTCTTGGGTAAATGGATATTTTAAAAAAATCTACAATAGTTAATATGAGGAAATTGGTTTTCTATAAACCTCTCCTCTGGTTGATATTAATAAAAAATGAAGACAGTGCAGAGTGAATTGCAGGGCTCTGACTTTTAAACTTTTATCTGGTACCATGTCATCTTTTTCTCAGTCTTCCTGACTGTCCTTGTTTGGCTGTAACATACAGATGACAGATGATCTGCAAACAGTGGGGTCTTTGGCTAACTGGCTATCAAGCCACATCATCTTTCATGTCCATTCTTTGCCCTTCTTAGTAGCTGGAGCTGGCTATTGTTTAGCTACAGACATTGAAGTTACATGAAATTCAATACCTAATCAAAATGTGGGAAACCAATATCTAGATTTTTTTCACTGAAGCCACAGTTGTTTTGAGGAATTGACCATGACTGTGTCTACATCATTAGAGAGTCAATTACTAATCACATTCATTTTTACTCTTCTTGCTAATCACAGGTACTTTAGTATAAATGATTGTATCTACTCAAAATATATATTTATCGTCCTTCCTCGGGAAATGACAGCACTAGGAGGTGGGACTTTTGCTGTGGGATGGTCTGTATGTCAAATTGCTCTGATTGGTCAATAAATAAAACACTGATTGGTCAGTGACTAGGCAGGAAGTATAGGCGGGACTAACAGAGAGGAGAAAAGAAAGAACAGGAAGGCGGAAGGAGTCACTGCCAGCTGCCACCATGACAAGCAGCATGTGAAGATGCCGGTAAGCCACGAGCCAGGTGGCAAGGTATAGATTTATGGAAATGGATTAATTTAAGCTATAAGAACATTTAGCAAGAAGCCTGCCACGGCCATACAGTTTGTAAGTAATATATTTATATAAGTAATGTGTTTATTTTATAAGTGGGCTGTCCGACTGCCGGGGCTTGGAGGACCCGGAAAGAAAACTCCAGCTACAGACTTTGGAGAGAGAATTCTGTCATGGTGAGACTTCATGAATGGAATTTGTATCTTTACAAGAGCCACTGCAGAAGGAACTCTTGCCACTTCTACCATATGAGCTTAGAGTAAAAATACGTCTATCTCAGCAGATACCATTTCTACTGGTCACTTTACCTCTGACTTCCTAGAATCTAGAACTATTATAAACCCATGTCTCCTATTGATAAACTTCTCAGCTTATGGTGTATATGTTACAGCAGCTGAAACATACTAAGGTAATGAGAATTTGATTAACCCCCACTAGTGTGAACTTGGGAGTAAAAGGTTCATAGTCTCAAAGAAGAAACCAACCACAAAGGAGAAGTAGCTCAGCACTGTGGTGCTGACTGTGCCAAAATGCCCAAAAGAGGCCAAATACTCACGATTTCAATGATACTGACTTTGTAGAAGCTCTGCTGGTTGGGTCATTCCACTCTGAATAGAAAGGACACAATTACTTTTCATGCTTCTATTGTAAATGAGTATTCAAAATTAAATTACTTTCTAAACATGCAGCCTTCCTGGATAACTTCACAGCCTTCTGTCATAATAATAGATGAAAAAGAGGAACTAGAATGGTAAATCACCAAGTAACCTTTTTGTTATCATTATTCTTTCTTGTTTAAATGACATTGAGCAGAAAAGAGGGAAAAGTAAGGGGAGTGAGAATATGGTGACTGGCATAAGAAGGAATTGAAAAAATAAAAACAAAAACCACTTACTTTGTAAGGTAAATCCTGGAGTCAGATGCTGAGATTCCTGTAATTAAGAACATACAATACAGACATCACTAAAATGGTATGGGGGTGAGGGGAGTTATCTGTTATTGCTAAGGATATAATCTTACTAATGCTTGTAAATAAGAAATCACTGTTAACAATTATATTAGTAAAACTTCCATGTGTAGCTGTATTTGTACCTATTAACAAAGGTTGCTGCCACAAAATAAAAAAAGTCACCTTATTATAATTAAAAGTAAGTATCGTGTCTATTTGGAGCTGTGTCCCACATGAGAACAAATGATCCATATGTGTAAAATTCAAGTGTATAACTTATCACTTAACTAGGCAATGATGCTTCTAAGAAAATCACGGGTACTTAGTTCAATTAAACACATGATCATAGTTTTGGTAAAAGTGTAAACATGATTATAATTAATAAATATGTCAAGTTTCTCCCTTGGTAAAAAAAAAAATTAAATGTGCAAGTTTGAACTTAGTTCAACCAAGGCATTCATAAAACTTTGTTACAAGCCTGTTGAGGTATAGGAAGTAATTTGAAATGTTAGTAGACTATATTATTTAAAGGATTTAGATTTTATTTGAAAATCACCCTTCACAAAATTCCTTCACTGTTTTGAGAAACCTAGATTTGCACTTATGAGTCTTGCTGGGAGTGTGGCACACCTGTGCAGATCTTGACAAATTTGGCAGGAAAAAGCATTATAGTAATGCTCAGGAGTGGTTTGAAAGAGAATGTCCCCTATGGTTTCTGACACTTAGTTGGAGGTGCTGCTTAGGGTAGGTTTAGGAGGTCTGTGGCCTTGCTGGAGGAAGTATGTTACTGGGGGTGGACTTTGAGGTTTCAAGTCCATGTGCTATTACCAGTTCACTCTTTAAGGTTGGAGCTAAGAGCGCTCTCATCATTCATACCTTCCTGCTGCCATACTTCCTTGCCATAATGGTGATGGATTTTTATCCCTCTGGAACCATAAGCCCAAATAGACTCTTCCTTCTGTAAGTTGCCTTGGTCATGGTATTTTATCACAGAAATAGAAAAGTAACAAATATATAAGGTCACACACAGTAGTGGGGACTCAGTAGAGAACTTCAAGGACTGCAGAACAAAATCAGAGGCAGTTAACTCAAGCAAAGTCCTGGGTTTCATCACTATCACTACAAAGAAAGTAAATATAAAATTGGATTTATCAGAGTCATTGTTATTCAATAGGGTAAATCTTATACTACAGAGAAGGAAAAAGATCACAGCATAATTTGTATGTAAAAAATAAGCAAAGAAACATAGGACTGGGCTGTGCTTTATCTTTTCAGTCTATTTATTGTACCTGTTTCATAAGAAGTTTGACTTTTGTGATGATCACTACTAAAAACTACAATTAACTCAGCAACTAATAGGAAATCCCTCTCAGCTGAAGATTATCAGTAGTCCATGTATAATGTTTACTGCTCAAAGGCTTCTAAAACTGATAGAGACCTGCCTTTTAAATATTTTTGTTTGGTACTGTAAACCTTGACAAAACCCCATGGGCTAGGAAGATTATTGGCCCTAGTACAGGGCTCACTATTATTTAGTTAAACTGATATAACACCAAATCGGATTCTAAATATTTATGATTATACACACAGACAAATGCCACCCCCACTCATCTTTAATTATTGAAGCTTATATTTGCAATGAATGGAGGTGCATACATGGCTGCCCAAGATGTTGAGAATAAGTGACAGTTGAATATTCAGCCTTAAACAAGACATTTATGCCACCCTCTCAAAGGTACATGAAACACTGCAGAAGAGAATGAAATACTGTAAGAGTCAGAAGATAGGGAGAAAGACTGTGAAATGCTATCTTCAAGACACAGCACAGTCATTGCAAACACAATCTCACATCAGCTATGGTTGCCTGCACTGGCCTGCACAAGACAGGTCTGTCAAAAGCCAATTGTGGATTGAGGAAGGGCTCGTGGAACCCTGCATTCCTTGCTAAAGTATTGGCAACTTGGATTCTAGGGGAGGGATAGCCATTGCCTTCACTTGTGAACCAAACAATGAACCAACAAGGATCCAAGGAATAACTCTTAAACCTGTGACTACACATTGGTTTTTGGTTATGATCACTGGGTCACAAACAGAAAAGGCATGAATGTAGGAAAAGGATCTGTAGGGAGGAGAGTGCATTTGACAGATGTGGAAAGAAGATAAGAGTTGAGGGCTGGTGAGAGTAAGTAAAATGCACTATATACACATACACATGAAATTGTCAAAAGCCAATTTAGCCAATAGAAAGGAAAAAATAATGGAACAAAGAGCTAGAAATTGTGTTATTGTGTACTGATCACAGGTTTTATCATTACATTTTAATACATATATACCATTGTATCTTTCTCATATTTACCTCTTCACCACTGTCATTTGTCTCTCTGTCACTAAAGCACTAACTGCCTTTTGATGAAAGGTCTCTAAAATGTTGAACAATCAGATCCTATCCCTTAGGAAATTACAGATGGCAAGGAAGGGAATTTGTTTGTAGAGGTCATATCACTGGTAAGGATCAATGAGATATGAAAATTAACAGCACAGGGAAAATGGCATAGCAAAGTCAGAACTTAAAGAAAGCACACACGTCTATGGCCATTTAATGGGGAGGAAAACATTCTTCTTATCTGTCTTCTTATCCCTTGAGGGCACAGTTATAGCATACTGTACTATTACAGCACAACACAATAATTGATGCTGATAATAGTATCAAATTTATGAAGAAACACTAAAGAATGTTCAATATAACCTTCTAAAGATGGCAGAAAAATGTTAATTATATTTCAAAATAATTTCCAACAAGTGGATTCTCTGAAATTATCCAAGAATTTCAATTATCAAGAATGTCTTTCTTGGATATACAAAAATGAGTTGCTAACAATTTGTATCAGCTTAAGTTTAAACAATTATTTCTATCTACTCTTTCTCTAAAGGATTTTATTACAAAGATGCAGGGCAAGTTTAGACTTGTATACCTTCAGGAAATTAAACACAGGTTCCAAAGTCAATCAAAACAAACATCTGATAGGAGAATAAAACACACAGTCCTTGTATTTGTTCTGTCAACTTGTTTTTAAAAATGGTCTTTATACTCAATTAGGTTGTTTCAGTGCACCAATGTAGTGATGCCTGAAGCAAATAGGAGGATGAAGTCATTCTGCAATTTTACATAATTGATATTACACATATTCTTGACATTGATTTTAATGCTAATCTGGATAAATCATTTTTAGACAAGATATACAAATAAAGAAAATACTTTTATATGCTGCCAAAGTCACTGTACATAATATACAACCATAAACGTATATATCATGATTCTGGAAAAAAACTATGTTCATGCAATAATTGTTATTGCATGTAGTATTAAAAAATGTCACCAGACATGAAACTCAGTATTTCTTGCATAGAAATATCATATACACCAGTTCATAATGAGGCCAATCTATATTTGCAAATTCATGTAAGGCTCTTTTAAATAACCACCTGAATGACAATCACGTAATCAGATGCACCTAGATTTTAGAGTGTCAGCTAATTTTTCTCTTAAAGGGCTATATAATAAATATTACAGGTTTTTTGAAACATATGGTCTTTGTCATCATCCCTCAGCTCTGCCATTATAGTGTAAATGGCTGTTCCTGTGTTCCAAAAATGATTGATTCATAGACATATTACTAACAATAATGTGTTATTTTTCTTTTGATTTTATTTAGCATTTTAATATGCAAAGACCAAAGGGATCCAGTGCCATCTCTGTTCTAGAGTCAACTTGCCTGTCCCCACCTACTACCAAGGATATTGTTGCTCTCTTGGTTCTACTTAGAATAAATTTATTCCCCTCTTTGTGGGGATTACATTCTCTATAAGAAATGGAGTATTTTAAGTTTGTGATTGGTAAGCACACTTAAACAGAATTTTTAACTGTGTTTGTCTTTGTAAGTTTACAGATTCATAAATCACTTGACTTGAAAAATTACACACAGACGGGGAGAGAGAGAGAGAGAGAGAGAGAGAGAGAGAGAGAGAGAGAGAGAGAGAGAGAGAGACCCTGGTACAGATGAAGAAAATGAAGCTCAGAGGAAGTTAAAAATGATTAAGCAGCATCAAATGGAGGAGTTAGATTAAACACATCCAAGATTGTAGTTCTCTTCTCTGGATGAGTTCTGTCATAGCCTTTCTTTTTTGGATGGGTTCTCAGAGGGTGGTATCACCCAGTTCTGGTACAAGCACAGAAAAAAGGGCAATCAGCCATCTTCAGCATATTGACTAGACACAGCCACTGTTCAGAAGATATTCTTTGAAATAGGGCATCTGTAATGTGAAATAGTTTGACCCCGGTCTCCGAACATCTAGATCTCCAAACTAGTTTTCTAAGTTTATTAATGGGAGCTCTGAAACACCTTACTTAATGACTATGCCCCTCAGTTTTCTTCTCTGTAAATTACACATGATCAAGTTATCAGCATCTCTGGGCTGTGGTGAGGGTTGAATTATTTATTCTATATGAAGTACTTACAATGAGTTGAGACTACAAAAAAGGATGGAAAGCCCAGTATAACCTGTGGGGAATGGGAGCATGGGTGCAAGAAGGAATGTCACATACATAGAGTTTATATTCTTCTTGACAAAAATAGCCATTTGGGCAAGAAACTGCTCTTATCTGGACTGCTTGAGAAAACGTTGCATCAATTGGACATGCAGGACCCATGAAAAAGTGAAAACTGAACTTTGCAAGGCAAAATGGTCCTTCAGATTCCTGCTTCACGAATAAACTGCCAGACATTCCACAGGACACAGAGAAAAGTGACTGAGACTCTAGGCCTATATGGCTGAACTTTGAATGACTGTAAAGGCAGCCAGCTGTCATTCTAGATTTTTGGAAGTTGCTTACAATGCACTTCCTGTTTACTTAGGTATTATTATATCCTTCTTGGGTCTTTGATGTAGTTGAAGACTAGTTAGTTATAACTACGGTTTTCCTTGGTTATGACAAGAGATATGGTAGATATGAAATCTTAGATTCACAAATATAGGATAAATAGAATATTTTCTTTGAATTTGCCAAATATAAATAGACTAGATATTGTAACTATAATTCTTGTTTGTTATATATAAGTTTACTATGTTAAAGTTAAAACCTTCCTTTTTAATTAAACAGAAATGGGAAAATGTTCTGGGATAATGCTTTTGTACACTGGTTTAATAAAATGCTGATTGGCCAGTAGCCAGGCAGGATATATAGGCAGGATAAGCAGACAAGGACAATTCTGGGAAGAGAAAGGTTTGAGTCAGGAGATGCAAGCCTGTCATCCAAGGAGCAGCATGTAATGGCACATAGGTAAATATACGGATCATGTGCTAATGTATAGATTAACAGAAATGGGTTGAGTTTAAATGTAAGAGCTAGTCAGTGGTAGGCCTGAACTAATGGCCAAGCAGTTTTATTTGATAAAAGCCTCTGTGTGTTTACTTGTGTCTGAGTGGCTGCAGACTGGGTGGGACACAGGAAAACTTCCAGCTACAGTTGTGGTGTCTCTTCACAGCATTAGAAACCCTAAGACAATCCCTAACTTTAAATACACTCTGCTTTTAGTAAAACATTTATGAATAAGTAGATCATGACCTGATGGAGGAAGTAAGGATAGAAGGAAGAATATTCTTTTAGATAATTTTGTTAGAATAGCCCCATCTTTTCTTCCCTTTAACTGAAAATAGGTTCTTTTCTCATTCTATATATCTTGATTATGTATTTTCCTCCCTCTACTCCTCCTAGTTCCTGCACACCTTCCCTACCACCTGTATCCACTCCCTTTCTGTCTCTCATTAGAAAAGAACAGGATTCTATGAGATAACAAACAAACACAACAAAATAAAATATAAGATCAAAACCAAAAACCCCATATCACATTTAAATTGGACAAGGCAAACCAACAGAAGAAAAAGGGCCTAAGAGAAGGCCAACAATCAGAGACCTACTCATTAACACACTCAGAAGTTCCATAAACACACTAAACTGAAAGCTATAATATATACACAGAGGACCTGGCACGGACCCTTACAAGCCCTGTGCTTGCTGTTTCAGTCTCTGTGAGTTCATATGAGCTTTGCTCAGTTGATTTAAATAGCTTTGCTCTTTGGGTGTCCTCCATCCTCTCTGGCTCTTGCACCCTTTCTACCTCCTCTTCTGGCTCCCTGAGGATAAAGATTTGATAGGGACATCCCATTTACAGCTGAGTGCCCCAAGGTCTCTCTCTTTCTGCACAATATCTGAGAATAGCAATGTCTTTTATGGCACATTAAAAAAAAATCTGATGGTGATAAATTGTTACTGGAAGCTGTAAAGAAGCTATACTCAAGGCTTGACAATACAATTGTAGAAAAAAATCTGCCTGTGTGGTATCTTGATTTTTAAGGATCAGTCTACATGTAAGCAACGATTTGGGAGGTGACATAGAAAAATGAAAACTTAGTTACCAGAATGAAGAATATAGCTTTTCTTAAATTCAAACCTATTGGTCGAGTGGTGGATTATCTAATCTTCTTTAGGAGATGATTGTATCCTATGATTCCTTAGGTCGGGGCACAATTAACTTGGACAGAGTTGAGGCTCAGGTACTGAGATATGCCTGCTGATATCTGTGCATATGTTGTTTTAAAGACTCCTTTTAAATAAAATTAAGTTTTGATACCATTATGAAGGAAACAGAAAGTTAAGATTTCTTTAAGACACCAGAAAACTGATGACATTTTACCCATCACAAATCTAAATAGAATATTAGTATAATGAAGGCAAAGGAGAATAAGGGAATAGAACTAACCTGTCCTGAGACAGAAAATGTGTTCTGGTTGGAGATTCCAGGAATGTGTATGTCAATCAGAGAAGCAGGTTCCAAATGGGTCATGCTCTGATGAGGAAAAGGAGACTACTTAGAAAATTAGTTCCCTTCCTGGCACAAAACGTAGAGGATTCATTAAAAAATTACTATGCTTCTTGGCCTTAGTTAAAATCAAGTGTAAAAACTACTTAAGAATATTGACTTAATTGGTCTCTTTTTAGCAGAACTTAGCATCATTTGGTCCAATACTCTTTTTCACTAGTTCTTGAAGCCTATCTAAAATACAAAGGCCATCTAGCTTCTATTTGTGTATATGTTGCCCATGACAGAGGCAGGGGCAGAGATCATCACTGCTTGAAATAGCACATCTAGCTCATGCAGAGACACCTGGATCAGAATCTTCCTTCTTGGTTGTGAAGCACCTATCTCACAAAACTTCTACCTGGGGATAATAATTTGGAGGCACATGAAGCACATATCTCTCTGCTTTAGCTCATTTACTTATTGGAAACTTTCAACTTTTCTTTTGAAGTTCTAGCCTTGAATTCTGTCACTATCCTGGATGCTCCCAAGGCAAGACTCCTGACTGCCCTGGGCTTTTCTATCTCTTAGTATCTTGTTCCAGGTATGATCTGATAGCTCCAGGAAGTGTAGCACCTCACCAGCTGCAATCTGGATGCTCTAATATTCATCTATTGATGCAGCCTAACAAGTAGTGACAAGATGATGTACATGCTCTTTATTTTTTTTCTTCAGAGATGAGGCAGCTAAACAGTATTCCTTCATTCACAGAGAAGGTTACTATGAAATTGCTGCCTTGCTTCTTCCATGCCAATCATACAGTGTATTTGTAAGCTTCAAGTAGAAAAAGCCCTGCAGTCTCCCAACCCTCTGTTATCAGCAAGCACACCTTGTAAGCTCTTTCAAACAGTCTTTGAAAAAGAAGTGCTGTTCAAATCTTGCCCAAGTCTTGCTATGAGTCTTAGGGCTCATAGCCAACATGCTATACCCTAAGGGCAAGGATAATTAAATCATATGCTCACAATCCTAGCAACAGAGAGATGACAAATTTTGTAAGGCAGGAGGGAGTCAGCATGTGTAAGTTTCGCCAAACATTTTCATATATAAACACTAAATATAAAAATCAATGTAATGATGGAAATAAAGAATGGTATTGAGGAGGGGGTACAAGGATCAAAGTTAGTAAATGTATTTTTTAATGAATATGTTACATAAGTTTTCTTTTCAGTTTTTACAGGTAACACAATTAGTTATTACAAAGGTAATATTAGTAAGAACTATCAGGTAGCACTAAAACACGTCTTTTTCCTCCCATAATTACCCAGTTCAAAAAGACCCTTTGATGTATGAATAGTTATAATGCAAGGAGATACTTCACAGCTTCATTCACAGCAGCTCTGCTGAAGCAGAATTTGTAAGTATTATTCTGACAAGTGCTGACACAGATTGAACTTTCCCTAGCACTATTTAAAATGGGGGTGGTAAGTATATTAAACATGTGCACAAGATTTAGAAGGGATGCTTAACCTATTTAAAAGATAAGCTGTTTCCAAGTGTTTTTGACTTGGGAATTTATACCCAGTTGATAACATTCATGACAAATGCCAAATGCTGCTTACGTATTCATCAAACTTGCCCCAAAGTAAATCTTTGTGATAAGAGTTTCAAGAAGATTTCTAATTACTTGATGCTTCTACAATACTAACTGATCTGTTTAAAATGTGTGTGATTTTCCTGATTAGAGATGGTCTCTAAAATATAATCATTTAAATTATTCAAGAAGATAGCAGAAATGAGGAGGTATTGTCAAAGTGTACAATATTTTTGTTAGGAGAAAGAAGTTGTGAAGTTCATTGTACAGAATAGTAACATGTTATTAATAATATAGAGTAAACCTGAACATTGTTAATGTATATGAGAATGTATATGAGATGGTGGCTATTTTGTTAACTTGTTCTAATTATCCCACAATGCAAATATATTACACATCATTGTATTATATCACACACACACACACACACACACACACACAGGCTTTATTTGGCAAATGAAAATAAACAAATAAATAGTAGCTCATATTTCCCAAGTCAATTAAGGAGTAATAAGCCCTATCCTGGGAGAAAAGTGTTACCTCTTTTCATCAAATGGGATAATCAGAGGCATATTGTATCCCCTTTTTGCATTGTTTCCAGGGATGCCTTGTGAGTTATTTAAAGGTGTTTCAGGCATTGCAAATAATGAAATCACTTTTCACAGTTACACCATTTCACCCAGGTATACTTCTGTATTTACTCCATATGTTATGAATCAGATTATCTTGAATTAATAATGGAATATGCCACCTTGTTGGACAATCCACAAAGAAGTGCATATACCATGGCATTTTCAATTTGCGCTAATTCTTTGTATTTGAAAAAGTGAAATTTCATGAAACAGCTCACTGAGTCTATGTTACCACAGACACATTTGGTTACAGTGGGGGCAACGCAGTTCAAATATAATTTCCTGAAAGGATACCTTTGGTAAGAAACTTCAGAGCAATCTCCTTCACTTCTGAAAATAAGTTAGACAAATAACATGTCAAGCTCACAGAAGACTTTCCATTGTTATTCATTTTATTAACACTTGAAAAATATGAATCTGGTGTTCTCTTCTTGCTACTCCTGAGATAAGAACACAGACGCATGCTTATGCAAGAATATATTTATTGTTTGCCCATTCAGCACCTAGACATGAGAACCTGCTCAGAAAATGTCATTTTTTTGCAACTGAATCTAATGCTGAGTAGTTGTGTGCAACACCAAGCATCACTTTCTCTTTAAAAAAAAAAAGAAAAAAAACATTACATGCATGCATTTAAGATTGGCTTGGACCTCCCTAAGCTCTTCTTTATCTGTGGATTCCTTTGCTTCTCCTGGAGAGAGAGACAAAGCAGGTAGTCATATATCTATTAGACCCCTAAAGTAATCAATGCTCTGAGAAAAGAGCTTGTTTACCTAAAATTTCATGCTTAGTTGGAATTGAATGCTGGTGGCCAGTTCCAAAGACACACCAAACCAAGTATGCCTCCCCTTTGTAAAGTAGAGGACATGGTTAATGAAAAAAGAGAGCTAAGTAATGATGTTTTACTTTTTAGTACTTGAGAAAGAATAGATTTCACAAGTGATAGAGCATTCTATGCCATTCTGACAATGTGCAGACAAATCATAACGTCATGTCAAGACTTTAAAGTTACATATAGGAAACATCACAAAACACCCAATTTCCTACTGCATTATACATATCTTGTTTCTTTAATGGGACTCCAACAAATCTGAATAATTTGTGGTCACTCTGCTTTGCCCAATTTAAGATATGGAAGCTGGGTACCCTGTAGGCAGAGGGAGAGATGGTGTTGTCTGTTCTTATAGGTTCTGCAAACCTCAATTGTATTCCACGCTGTCAGAGAAGTTTGCATTTCTAGTAACTAGTCATAAGCCTTGTCTTCTACAGCTTTGGGTATTTAGTTTCTAGTATGTAGATACTAGTTGGTCCCTTTGTACCACAAACTAAATAGATAACAAGTAGGACCATACCCATTTGACAAGAGGGAAATCACAACTACAAGGATGTAAAATGTCTTGCTCAAGGCCACAGAGAAAATGGTAGTGTCTCTAATAGATTCCTTGCCTTTGACTTAGTGCCTTTTACTAAGTAGACATTATGTGTTGTTCCCTGAGATACACATATGATCGAGTCAAGCTCCTTCCCTAAGAAGCTTATCCTTCTTGACATTCAAGTCTGTTGCAAAAGTGCCAGGAACACAGAGCTGGAGGAAATCATTGTATGAAACACACATAGTAAGGTTGTAAGAGGAAAAATAATGTGTGTGTGTGTGTGTGTGTGTGTCTGTGTGTCTGTGTGTGTATATGTGTGTGATTTTCAGAAATGCATGTTACATTTCACACAGTAACTATATAATGAAATAATGTGTTAATACTACAAGCAAATATTAAAATCTTCACCTTCAAGGAATTCAAACTTGAGTTAGTTACAACAACTTTTTTCAAATGATATTTTACTAAAAGGAGATTATGATGGTATTGATTATATTACATTAATGTTTTTGTTACAGACAGGAGCCCAAAAGGCAGCAATAGGATGAAAAGAGCTTAAGTCACATCTGATCCCTGCCAAGAACTTCCTGAATGATCCTAGTAGAGTCGATTGCCTACTTGACTACTCCAAGTCTGTTTCCCCACTTGTAACATGCAGGACTTGTTTTGGACAGTCTAGATTTATTTTTTTAACTACCAATGTTATTAATCTCTAATTTATCTGCTCTGCTGTGTCAGAAGCCTGACATGGGAGAAGCATGTATGAGAGTTTTAGAGAACATATAATGCTGTATACATTTAAAGCTCCTCACTCCTGGCCCCACAATCATGGCTATAATACTGCTAATATGAGCTGTTAGACTTGTGCTTTATAACAAGCCATGTAAGTCCTGCTCAGAGCTGAAGAGATGAAGGGGAACCCACCCCCTTTTTCTTTTTACTGAGATATCAAAAAATATAACCAATGCAATTTTGAAAGTATTTACAAAATCTTCTTATTAAGAGTAGTAAGTTTGAATAACTCAGTATTTTAAGATAGAAGTAGAATAGATTCACAAAATTGACTTAAGCTTTTCTTTTCATAAAGATTTAGAATTAAATGACTCTCACAGCCTCTAACAACCTTTGGAAGGGTGGGACTACCTATCCTTTTTACTTTCTAGGGAGTTTACTTCCAAAAAGTGATGTGATACATTTTGACATTGGGCACCCTTACACGTCAACACAGCCTATGGATACAGAGACTTTAGGATCTGAAAGCCTGCAAATACTGAATCCACATGTCCCACTTATATGAAAGAGATCTTCACATTGGACAGGAATATTTGTTAATGGGCTCCTTTCCTCCTAAGAGAAAGCAATGTGTGCTGCTGGACAGAAGATGCTGCATTGCTGGAAAAATAATGACTTAGGCTCTGTATCCATGGGCTCTTATGGTGATATTTTATTTGT